ACAAATAAGGTGCACAGAATCCCTGAAGGGGTGGGAACATGAAAATATAGTGTTATGGAACCCTAATGATGGGATTGGTTAGTTTTGCCATCCTACTAGGCTTAAAGTGCAACATCCCAGAGGCAGAAGAGGGGGACCTCATTACTACCAAGAAGTAAAGATGTGAGTGGAACACATCCTTTAGAACTGGGAGGTCCTTGGACTGAGAACCTCCTAGATCCAGGAGACAGATAGAGGGGGCTGTTCACCTGAGACGGTGAGCAGCAATGGCAGCAGAAGCTAGAGACTGGCATAGGGTGACGCAGTGGGCTCCTTGTTCCATGAATATGGTGGTTGCAGTGAGTGTACCAACCCATGCAGCAAGAGAGTGGAATACCTTCTGGCAGGTGGCTTCCTAGCAGAGTGCGGTGCCTTTGGGCACCGCCAGAGGAGCTAAGCTTGCTGACCCATGGAGGGAGAGCTTTGGGCTGAGGCTTACTGGCAAAGTGGGGTGACCCTGAGCACTTAATGACGGTGCTGAAGAGCTTTGTAATCCTTGTCCCAGCAGGGCAGGGGTGGGGGTGAGGGGCCAAGAGGCCTACCTTCAGGCAGTCCAGATTGAAGAACTGTATCCTAAGTGTTCCTGACCCTGAACTATAACCTATTATTTCCCTAAAAAACCCCATAACTGTGAGTGTGGTTGGTGAGTTCTTTGTAGCCATTTCAACAAATTATTGAACCCAGAAGAGTTGCAAAGAATGACTGTGGTAGGGATATCTGGTGTAGATTAATTTTAAGAAAAATAAATTTAAAAAATGTGGGAGGGCGGAAGTATGTTTGGCCTCCACATCATATTGCTCAGCCTTGGATTGTTGATGCTGATAATGAGTCTTGCTCTTTCCCCTTGTGAAGCTAGATGAGGAGTTCTGATGCCCCCAAGTACCATTTTTACAGTTGGTGTCAGAAGTAGGATTTGTTGCAATGGCTCTAGACTCATGGGCCCATGGAACTTTTCAAGAAAAAGAATGAAGAGGTGTGGGAAGTGAACATTCTGATTCTTAGATGATTATTTTGGTTGTTGTTAACCATCATGGCTAAATGGAAAGGAAGAGATGTCATGCTGCAGCTGAAGGAAGAAAAGCCATATCTAGAAGGAGCTCTGGTAGCATAGGGGTTACGAATCGGGCTGCGAACCTTACGGTCAGCAGTTAGAAACTATCAGCTGTTCTGTGGGAGAAACATGAGGCTTTCTGCTCCCGTAAAGATTTATACCCTCGGAAACCCTGTACAGGGTCGCTATGAGTCGGTTATGACTCCAGGGCACATAACCACCACAGAGCGGCATAGAGCAAAAGCCAGGCTGGATAAGGAAGATGGTTAATAGGGGGCTAGGATCTTCCACCTAGCCAGAAGCCAAGGCCATATGCATATGAGTGGGAGGACAGTCAAGTAGTGGAGAAGAGAAGATGCAACCACAATGTTTAAAAAAGGGTTTATTTGAAGGTACTATGGGTATTGAATGTTTTTCCTATCTAGTGTTGTGAAACAGATCTAAATGTATGATGTGGTTGCTGTTAAATGCGGTCGAGTCGGTTCCGACCATAGCGACCCTATATAGGGTTTCCAAGGAGCGACTGATGAGCTTGAACAGCCAACCTTGCAGTTCAAATGGCACTGCAGTCCGGTGCATTAATCCACAGCGCCACACCAGGATGATAGAAATGAATATTTGGTATTATAGATAACCAAGAGCACATGCCTCCATCTTGTGGGTATACTTGAGGATTGCTAAAAGGGAAACTAGAGTTTGTCTGAAAGAGACACAGGCTGCTGCTTTGAAAGAAGTTGAAAACATGAGCCCCACCCAGAATCTTTAGAAAGCCAGGAAATTTGCATTTGAAAAGACAGGGAGAAGACCTCCCCTTCCCCCAGAACTTCTGAGAGAGCAGGAAATTTGCATCTGTGGAAGGAAAGAAAGAGGTAGAGAGGGAGGGAGATAGGGAAGGAAAAAGAAAAAGAGGAGGGGGGAGATAAAGGGAGAAAGGAAAGAAGGAATGAGAAAAAGAAAGAAGACTGTTTTGCCTTTTAAATTTTGAGCAAGGAGTTTGCTTTGAGGCAGGAAAAGTCAGAGTGCGTAAGAAGAAACCTCTTCCTAGGACTGGAAGTTAAAAAGTTTCACCAAGTAGACAGCTTGGTATGCTAACTTGGAGTGACCACCTGGGTCCACTTGATGAGTAGGAGGTGGGGGAGATAAAGCAATGAAGAGATGAGCTGAGTTTTGACATGATCCATTGCACTGTTGACCTAGCTCATGGAAACCAGAAATGAAAGAGAAAAGACTGGCTGCCTAAGTGCAAAGAGTTGTGTGGTCTCCCAAGCCTACAGCTGGTATCCACTGACTAGCTACAGGGGCTAGGGATGAGCTGACCAGAACCTGACCAAATGAAGAGAAAGAGAGAGAAGTCTGACTCCAGGAGTTGGTGGAAAGTACTGCAATTTGATAGCTTGCTCTGGACTTGACTTTGCTATGGATGCAGATGCTCAAAGTTCCAACCAGAACAGAGGATTCTTTAGACCAATGAATACATTTGTCTCCTCAGAGCACTGGTTTGAAAGGGCTGGGTAATTTAAACACCATCTAAAACAGGAGGAGATAAATGCATGAGGAACAGGTAAGGAAAACCTTACCTGTTTTCCCCATGTGTGCTTAAACTCAAAATGAGTGGGACAAGGGAGAATCCCCACTGAATAGTTTCCTTTTTACTAGATGGGTCTGCGGGGAGAGAGGGTAGGAGACAATGTTGATAGGATTATGTAATTCTGTGTAAGTGTTGATTGTTAACAGTTAATTGTGACTGTAAAAACTAATTGCAGATGCAGTAACTGTGACAAAGTGGACTAAAGATGAGGCACTACCAGGGTGGAGTACAGCAGTCAAACCGAAAGTCCCTTAAAGGTTTTGCTATGCTGATACCTTGTAAGGCTCAGAGCAAGGGAATAATCTCTCAGACACATTTTATCAGAGGCCAGATGGGACAATTTTTGGAGAACCTGATCAGATCAGATGAATACTTGCAGTAGACCTGAATGGCTGGTACCGGAGTAACCTCACCTTGAGGTTTCTTTTCTCTACTGAAGGGCTAATTGTTGTTGTTGTTAGGTGCCGTCGAGTCGGTTCCGACCCATAGCGACCCTGTACAGGGTTTGCCAGGGTGTAAATCTTTACGGGAGTAGAAAGCCTCATCTTTCTCCCGCGGAGCGGCTGGTAGTTTCGAACTGCTGACCTTAAGGTTTGCAGCCCGATTCGTAACCACTACGCTACCAGAGCTCCTTAGTTAATGACTATTTTAGACTGGTAAAGTGGGAGGGGGTGATGTGAGGTGTGATGGATCACTCTTATATGTTTTTTCTAGGCAGGCTCTTGATTGGGTTGTTGTTGTTGTTAAGTGCTGTTGAGTTGGTTCCAACCCATTGTGACCCTGTATAGGGTTTCCAAGGAGAGGCTGTGGTTTCCTGTGTTTCAAGCAACTTTGTAGTCCAGTGCATTAACCCACAAAGCCACAACAGGACTCTTCTTGATTGGGTAGGCCTATGCAAATAAGGTTCTTAGTGGCCCACCAAAGGGATTAAACAGCATGCTAATATGCAAAAAAGGTGCATGGCACCCTTGTGGGGGTGGGACCATGCAAATAAGGGTATATGGAACTCTAACAAGGGGATTGGTCAGTTTTGCTATCCACTAGGCTTAAAGTGAGCCATCCCAGAGGGAAAAAGGAGGCCTCACTACAAACACGTAGATGTGAGAGCAGAGCATATCCTTTGGACCTGTGGTCCATGAGCTGAGAACCTCCTAGACCCAAGGGAGACAGACAGAGAACGCTGCAACACTTGAGACTGTGCAGGATGGTGAGAAGCAGCAGAAACAGTCGATTCAGAAGTAAGACAGTTACGGTGAGTGTGCCAACTCACCAAGCAAAAGAGTTGAACGTCTTCAGGCTGAGGTTTGCTGGTGGAGTGGAGTGACCCTGGCCACTTACCTAAGAGCTAAAAAGCTTTGTGACACTTGTCTCATCTGGGCTGAGAGGCCAAGGGTATAGCTGAGAATGAAGAACTGAGTTGCATTGTTCCTGATCCTGAATTTGTAACCTGCTAATTCCCTAATGAACCTCATAACTGGTAGTACAGTGAGTTTCCTGTGGTCAGTGCAACAAATGATTGAACCCAGTTGAGAAGTAAAGAGTGCCTGGGGAAGGAACGTGATGTAGGAATTGATTTAAAAAACAAAACCGCCCCCTCCAAAAGTTGGGAGGTGGTAGAATGTCTGACCTGCACTTCATAGAGTTTAAGCAGCATTGGTGGCCCAGTCAGTAGTTAAAAGCTCTCAGCTGCTAACCAAAAGGTTGGTGGTTGGAACCCACCAAACACTCTCCAGGTCAAAGATATGGTAGCCTGCTTTCCTAAAGATTTACAGCTTTAGAAACCGGATGGTGCAAATCGACTATGTCTAGAGGGTCCCTATGAGTTGGAATCAACTCGATTGTTAGTCGGATTGGTGGGAACAATCATGATTTTCTCTCCTCCTTGTGAAGTTAGACAAGGAGGTCCGACACCCCTATATATACACACACACACACACTTTGCAAATGCCCACTTTAGCCTTCATGTCACACATATATGCTGGGGAATCTCACACGTAACGTGTGCATACACGCATTCACCTCACATATGCACTTCCAGGTCCACACCCCTGGCTGGGCCAGTGAGCCACCCATCTCCTGAACACACAACCTCACAGGGATTACAACAATTCCGCACACCTGAGTCCCGCAAGCTTGGAGGCTTCAGAAGCCGTCCCAACCCCAAAACATCCACCCAGTCCCGCCCCAGTGCGACCCACTATCTACACTGCCCTCTCTCCTGGCCTCTGAAAATAAGCCCCCCAAGAACGAAGCCCTCACTCCTCGTCCTTCCCGCGAGTGGTTGACTGACACCTGTCAGAGCTCAGTCCTTCCACCCCTCACCTGTGTGTACGGGTTCCAGATTCACCATCCTGCCCCAGGCGGGGCCAAAGCCAGCGCCCCCCCAGGCCCCTCGCGTCTGCCCCAGCCGGGTCCCCTGGGACGCCAGGGTCTCCTTCCTCCCGCCCCCGGCTGCCGCCGCCTCAGGAGCCACTGCTGGAGCCGTCGCCACCGCCGTCGCGCGCTCCGCTGCTCCGGCCCGGGCAGCACACGGCGCGGCCAGGATTGCCACACTCCCCAGGTGAGCACGCGGTGCGGCGCGGGGCGGGGGCCGCCGGCCACGCCCCCTGGCAGGGCCCACGCGCCTGGCCCCGGGCCCATGCAAAGCAGTGATTTGCATACGGGGAGCTGGGGGCCAGGGGAGCGGGCGTGGGGTGCTGCCGGGGTGGGTCCCGACCCTGCGGAACACCTGTCTGCCCCAACCGGGCCTGGTGGCTCCTCCCCGCCACGCCCGCTGTTGCTCTGGACTCCAGTCCTTTTGAGGAACCGCTGGAGGGTCAACCAGTCTGTGAGAGAACAGACTCCCCTCCAGATGTAAGCCCTGCAAGGAACCTAAAGTGTTGGAAGAAGCCATGGGAGGTGTGCAGGAAAGAATCTTGGTGGTGAATTCTATGTCCCAACAGTTTACCAGCCTTGTGTTACCGGAATAGGGCTCCTCAGAGCTGTCCTGAATTAATTTTACTCATCTGTAAACCAAAGCCAGCACTAATAATATCTTACATCTACCTGGGACTCGACGGCACTTAACAACATAACAACAGCCTGGGACTAAGCAGGTGACCAAGCTCACCTAGAAAGAACCCCCTGGCATCCTCACAGCATCCTGGGGTCTAGATGGGGCTCCCCTGATGATTCTCTAGGTGAAGACACTGCCCTTGGCCTGCCCCATCCAAGCCCCAGGTTTTGTGAGGCTCTACTGAGAGAAGGATGTAAAAGTTATTTAACAATGTCCGAGTTTGTCCAAGTGAGTGGAACCAGGTCTCTGGACTCCCATCCCAGTGCTTTTTACAGCATACATCATCAATTGATCATCGGAATCCCCTCTATGCCTCTTAACTACCACTCTTCAGATTCCACAAGTGGTGCTGGTGCCAAGGAGACCACCTGCCTGTAAGCCCAGAAAGCCAGGTGCCAACAAGTCTTTGGCTCAAGTACAAGGCAGTTTTCCTTTCCAGATGACTCCCGATCAATCTACCTTTCACCTTCGTATGAAAAGCTATTTCCTGCTCACTGGAACTGGCCTGGGATTTTTCTGCCTCCATGCCTTCTTTACAATGTTCTTTCCACCTAGTATGTCCACCCTACCATCCATAGTCAATAATCTCCATTATAATGCCCAGCCTTTAATAAGCTTTCAACATGGGTCGGACACTGTACTAACAAACTACCATTTTAGTTCTCATAATCCTATTGCCATCTAGTCAATTCAGACTCATCAAGTCGATTCTGTCTCATACTGATCCTATAGGACAGATACAACTGCCCCATAGAATTTCCAAGGCTGTAAATCATTAGGGAAGTAAGCTGCCACATCTTTTGTCCTTGCAGCAGCTGGTGAGATGAAACTGCAGACAGTTTCAGTGACACTTAGCAAATGTGCCAGAAGGGCTCCTTAGTCCTGGTTGTTAGGTGTCGCGGAGTCGGTTCCTACTCATAGTGACCCTGTGTAGGGTTTCCAAGGAATGGCTGGTTAGTTTGAACTGCCGACTTTGCAGTTCAAACAGACCTTGTGGTCCAATGCTTATCCTACAGCACCACACCAGGACTCCTGAGTCCTTATAATAACACATAAATGGAATTATTATTTTTACTTTACAGGCTGGGAAACTGAGGTTTAGAGAGTGTAACTTGCCCAATTATTACACAGTTAGTAAGCATCAGGACCCATGTTCTTAAGCACTGCTTTGTATTCCTCTTTGCCCAGTTCAAATGCCGCTTCTTTTCTGAAGTTGGAAGTGATTTATCTTTCACTGAATTACCTTTATCTTCAATGTTCTAATAGTTAGTCCTTGTGGTATCTTCTTCTTTATTTACACTCACGTGAGCCTTTCTTATCCTACCTCCTAATTAACTGATTGGCTGCAGGAGGAAGATTGTTCCATTCTCCCACAGCACGTAGCAGGTCCTCAGAAAATGCTCCATAGGTGTTCCCATGCCCCTGGATAAATAACCAGTTAACCAGTTGCCATTGGGTTACTCTGATTCCTAGCAATCCCTTATGTGTCAAGGAAGAACTGTGCTCTGGAGGGTTTTTAATAGCTGCTTCTTTGGAAACAGTGCACCAGGGCTTTCTTCAAGGTGCCTCTGGGTAGACTTGAACCGTCAGCCTTTCAGTTAGCAGCCGAGAGTGTTACCTATACCCCAAACTAAACTCACTATCATGGAGTCGATCTCAACTTATATCAAGTGCAATAGACCAAGTGGAACTGCTCCATAGGGTGTCTCAGGCTGTAAATCTTGTGGGAACAGACCGCTTCAACTTTCTCCTATGGAGTAGCTGGTGAATTTGAACTCCTCACCTTTCAGTTAGCAACACTGTACTTAAACACTGGTGCTACTAGGCTTTCTATGTTCATCTATGTTGTTGTTAAGTGTCATTGAGTTGGTTATGACTCAGCAATCCTGTATAGGGTTTCCAAAGGAGTCCTGGCACCACAGTGGATGATAAGCTGGGCTGCTAAC